TACAAAACATCTTTCCAGTTTTATTAACTATAGTTAGCAATAACTACCTATTACCCCAAAGTCATAATCATAGCTCAGGGGTCACCAACCTTTGTGAAGCTGAGCACTAATTCATGGGTACTGAGCCACAGGAAGGGCTACCAGGTTCACACAATAGTGACTTTTGAACTAGAATAGATCAGAGTTAAATGAACTTTTATGTATTATGTGTTTGAAATTTGTGGTTTTAAAATCTACATTAATGCATTTCTGATTAAAACTGAAGGCAGCAGATTTTGTCTATTTTATTTCAGACTTGTGCTATTTGGAGACAAGACCTGTGGGCACATGATATGGTTCCTGGGAGCACCAGATTGGTAACCCCGGCCATAACTAGCCCAAAAACACATTTATAGAAACCAGGAAAAAAATGAGGATAAATTAAATGCATTTCTACATGTCGAGTGTTTTTTGTTTTCGGTCCTGCAAAACAACTGGTTAAAGTATCAGTTTAAAAAAATAGATCTCAGAGGAAATACAACATGGCAAATGTGTTTGCACAATGCTGGAGAAACTTCAAAAAAGATGGTAATAATCCATTATTTTCCTCTCCTGTACTGTTGGTTCCATCTACAGGGCTGTAGTATGGTGCACAAGCAGTCATGGTTCTGGCCTGGGCTCAATTTGGATGACACCTGGCAGCAGTGCCTGGCTTGGTTGGTTTATGCTTGATGCGTCCGCGAGGTCCGCACGGCTCCGCGCGGAAAAGTTGCGTCATTTTGCGTCATTTTAACAACCACGCCCCTCCACCGCGCCTCCGCACGGCCCAGAATTTCCGCAACGCGCACCTCGGAAAATTTCTAACCACGCGGACGGACGTGGAAAAACATGGCGGACCAGCAAGAATTAGTATGGCAGAGGTTCGTAAATACAGACATTTGTATGATTCAGCTCTCAGAGATCACCGTGATCAACATGTTGTTAATAATTCTTGGAGAGAAATAGCTCGCACTGTCGGAAAAGACGAGAACGCTGTTAAAAATGCTGAAATGCCATGTTGTAAACAGTCATTTTTTACTTCTACTATGGTGTAGTGTTGGATGCTTGCCGTAGAGCTCCATGCTGCCCCCTACAGTTTGGGAGAATATTGGCTCACCGCAGAGACGAGCCGCACGAACCATAAACACTGCGAGTTGTGAAGCGCGTTCCATCCGCGAGCCACATCACCGCGTGGAAAGTGAATGCGTCAAGCATAAACCAAGCTTAGGCACCAAACGCTCTGAGCAGGAGAATGCCCTAGCGCATATTGTGTCCCTCATTGTGTAAAGTTTATTTAGCCCTTAAACGTGACCAGGTTTAGCTAAGAAGCCAATTCTGCTCGCTAGAATATTTTTATGTGACGCTACAATAGCTTGTTTGAAGCCCAAGGTTAAAATGAGCTGATTTTTTATTAGCTTATAGACACTTTTGGCCTTTTCCTACCTCTCGGCGTGGCTCGACGTGACTACGCTAAACAGTTCTGGAGGTTTTCCATTAAAAATGAGAAACAAATTTAGTGGTGGTCTACTGGTGGGGCTCGCCATAGCAGGGTGGACCCCAGAGATTGAAAAGTAGTTTGAGGTGATCTGTATTCAACACAAAAAACACAACACAACGCAACACTGAAGAAAATGGTGGTGATGTTGAGCATTCTTCAGTAGCTGGCTTTTTGTTAGGCTCAGAAAAGAAGAGAACTGGAAAAGTCTGTGAGGAGCCAATCAGTGACTAACATCGCGTTTTCAGGCTGGCACGATATGCTTGAGGCCACTTCAAAGCAAGTAATAGATGGGGGGGGGGGGGGAGTACCTGGGACCCGTTGCTAATGGAAACGTCTTGGAGCTGGGGAAAACCAGGTCGAGCTACACTGAGTAGGCACTGCTGGAAAGGTCTTACATTCTTCCCTGGCAACTGTCAGCCTGTGTCCAAACTCAAATCTTGTGACCATAGAATTGGAACCTGTATTCACTTGGACACCGACTCCCTTCTGCACCAACACAGACAAAAGCAGTGCCCTGATCATAACATCTTGATTTATCAGTCCATCAATCGCTCATGAGCAGGACATAAATCTTCTACCTCAGCCCATTTGGAGTATTCCACCTTTTGCAGATCAGCAACCATGGCTTAAGATTTGGAGGGCCAAACGCTCATCCTGAACATTCACTCATTCACCGCCAGTGACGTCAAAAGTCCTCATTTTAAATCCAACCAGTCACTGCCAATCACGACTAAAGTTGTCATTTGCATTTTTTTACTGTGTGGGCGTTGGAACGAGACCCCGCACCGTGAGAACAAACACTCCAGCTCTAAGGCCGATCTTTATCCGTGTTCATCTCACATCACGTGATCAGGAAACAGAAAATCCATGTTGCTGCTGCTGTAAAACAAAGTGAGGCGCGAACCGGAAAAACTTCTGCCGATCACATTTCGACTACGGATCATGAAAGAACGGATAACGCTCGAAACACGCGGATTCTTCCTGATGTAAGAGGCGAGTCTCCGCTTTGTTTTGGTTGTTTTGGCGTTGAAGGTAACAGATTTGCATCTGTAAAAATGCTCACTGCAAACAGCTGTGATCACTTTTTGATAAACAGGATCAGCAACAAGGAAAAACCTTAGTTTAATCAAATGTATGCACTTTTAGAGGATGTAACTGTCACATGGCAATGCTTTAGTTGGTTTGCGTTTTTAATGCATAAATATTAAAGATTCCATCGAGTCATGGTGACAAAGTCCAGGTCCAGAGAAAACAGAGATGCCTCTGGGAAGCTCTGCTTGGAATAAAATGTGACTCACTGAGCAGTTAGCACAGAGAGAAGCAGGAAAGAAACTGATCGTCTTTTTACCAAAAGACACTGACGCACGTCGATGCCTTAAGGTTAAGACTTACGGGAAGACAAACAGGTCATCATCAAACGTAGAAAGTCGTTTGAACATTTTCTCATTTCCAAGACATTGTGTTCAGCCTAGGAAGAAGTAGGAAAAAGGAGGACTCAACATCCAAATGGTCAGTGCCAACCCATTTACACATAAAAGAAAGAAGGTTTGTATTATGTAATTCTTTGGAAAAAGACAAGAATCTTTTAAATTCACAAAACTGCTGTTCTCTTGATACAAAGATGAGAAAAACAAGCTTAGCCTTGTTTTTTGTGCTTGTCTGAAAAAGTGCAGGTGTGATATGGTGCTTGCCAAAACAGTTGGCCTTTTAAAATCTGGATGAGGAAAAAAAACTTTCCAACATATAAAGTTAAACTGGTGGTGTCAGATTATGTAATGTAAAATGTAAATGCCTGTTTAACTGACCAGCTTTGTATTTTGCTCCATGGTTCTGATATTCCATCGACCTTTTCAACCACAGCTGGCATCTCCGAGTTTGCTGTTATTAAAAAAATCAGCTAAAATACAGATTTGTCTCACACTTAAGTGTATTAGTTCTTATTACTGGTGGTAAACTTGGAGTAGATGAGGCTAAAGTAACTGTTGTAACAAACTAATAATAAATTCACATACTGAACACCAATGTCACATAAGCTGGTTGCACAAATAAGTTAATTAATTAAAAACTAACAACCTAATACTGTTTTTTTTATTCAATGCAAGATTTGTTGTTTGACTTCCGAGAACAGGAAATGACAAAAAGGAGACAAGAAAGTTTTGTGAGATATTTCTCATTTGGAGTTTTAAAGGGAAGACAATTCAGAAGCGGTGACGTTCCTAGTGTACAACATATACTACTGTAGACATTCATCAAAAATGAGAAGTTGTCCTTTCTCAGAAGACCAAGAAACATATACGGCTCTAAATTAAACTTTTGTTTTGCTGCATGGGAAAATGGCTCATTGGACTGTAATGGTTGAAGACCCTTGTTCTACATAAAGATGCAGTTGAGCCTTTTTTAAATATCTTACTAAAAATTAATTAAAAAATCAGTAAATTATTCTACCTTTATAAATAAAGTTTGATTGATTTGATACCTGGCTTCTCACCCGTGACTACACAGAACTCCTTTCTACAGGTCTAAAACCACACAGAGGTTGCTAAAGGGCACTTAGGTTATAAATGAAGATGACGAAGATACAGTTTTTTCCAGCTGTTGTGTCCTTGGGCAAGAAACTTTACCCCCCCACCCCCCGTACTTGCTGGTGGTGGTCGGAGGGACGGTGGCGCCTGCGCTCAGTAGACTCGCCTCTGTAAGTGAGCCCCAGGGTGGCTTACGCTACCGTGTAGCTCATCACCACCAGTGTGTGAATGTGAATGGGTGAATGATTCACCACAGTGTAAAGCACATTTGAGTCCTCTGACTCACACAGGCACTATACAAGTGCGGGTCATTTATAATTTTATTTTTATCCAACTAAATTCAACCCGTTTTGATGTCATTATTTTTTCCTAAAGGTTTTAAGTTAATCTTTTTGTGACTGAAAAGTTTAGTGGTGGTGAAAAAAAAAAATAAAACTTCTTAAGCATCTGCCAAAAAGGTGGCATCAACAGAACACCAAACCCACAATTAAGAGTACTTAGTGACTTCACACGTTTCTCGGCAAATTCACAAGAAACGTGGTGAGGCCTAAGGACAAATTAACGTGATAACTTAAGTGTGACAACAGACAAGGAAATCACCTCCAGCTGCTCCACAACACGAAACAGCCATCCAGAATGTCTAAATGATATTTCAGCTCTCAATAAAGTTGAAGCCTTGTTACAAATGCAACAAGTTTAGGGCAGCAGCTCTGGTTTTATTTCATTTAGGATGTTCTTCCAGCATCAGGCAACAAAACGATTGCTGCCGAGAAACGCTAAGGACCTGATGGAGTGGGCGATTCCTGTACAGTGAGTGAAAGTAAAATGAGCAGTTACGTAGTGGAGAGAGAGGGGGGAAAGGGTTGAAAAAGGTCCTCCACCCACAGGGTTGGAGAGGGTCAACACACCAGTAAGGAGGGGGAGGACCCAAATGCAAACTATTTAAGATGCTCACCCAGAGGAGGGTTTCTCTAAGGAATGAGGACAAACCATCGGTGAGCTGCTGCACAAAGGGAAAACCTGAACTCAACACTTCTGTTAGCTACACGGGCGCTGCTACAAAAACACTTACTAGAAACAGAAGGACTGCATAATTTTTAAATCTAAAAAAGACAAAAATGAATTTCAGTAACGTAGCCTTGGTGGTTGCATTGATTCTGTTGACAGAGACTAAAGCTCAGAATCCCAAGAAGAAACCGGCGCCTCCAAAGATCGCTAAGGGTCAGTGCTGCGATGAAGTGCGCACTCTCAAAGTTCAGGTGGCCAATCTGACCAGCATCCTCGAGGAGCTGAGTCGCAAGCAGGAGACAGACTTGATTAATGTTGTGAGGCAAATAATGGAGCTGGACAAGCAGAAGCAGCAGCTAGATAATCGGGTCACAGAGGCAGAGAGCAAGTACTCAGAGGTCAACAACCGCGTGGAGATCATGCAGCTGCAAACTCTGCAGTCGGCTACTCAGACTTCATCAGGTGAGTCCTTTGTCTAAGTTTTATCTGCAAACAGTTGTTAAAAGAATGGCAAAAAACTATTATGTCACTCAACTGAATATCTATTTTATTAATGTAGATAAAAGTACATTTTTAAAACAGTCAGAAGACAAATTGTGAAAATTTTCACAAACTGTCAAATCAATGAGATGTGAGTCATTTTTGAAAAGTGCAAACTAGTGTCCACACAGAATCGTATATTTGTTTTTGCTGCAAAGTACTATGATCAGCCTTGTTCATTGCTTTGCGGGCTCCAGTCAGCTGCTGGGAATCAGTGGTGGGGTTGATTACAGTGCACACACCGAGCTGCCCAAAAGAGGTTAAAAGTATTCATTTGGAGTCACTGAGTCCCATCTGTAAGGCTGTCAATAAATGGCTCCATCAAAGCCAAATCTTATCCCCCAATCAGCTCATTTCCAACACGCCACCAGTAATCAGTGCTGGCTGCTGCACAGCCAGCCATTACATCATTTATTATTTCACTACCTTCACTGTGTGGTCTAGCACAAGCAAATGAGAACACAGGACCCTTTCTCAAACCTGAGTGGAGAGCAGGACAGGAAGAGATGAACTGATTAGAAGACATGGAAGGTTTCCGTATGACATCAGGTATAAGGCTCACTGCTCCGTTGTGACCACATAGTCACTTTTTGGACCAGGAGTGCTCTGCAAAACTCACTGTGCAAACGTTACTTTCATAAATGGAAATTAAACGACATTTTTGCATCTGTCAAGTCAATCAGATGACCTATAAAGCTGCATTTTACAGCAGTTTCCCCAAAACTACGTTTGGTTTTAACACAACTTCCAATCTTCTTCTTTTCCAGATGCCATATACGACTGTGCATCCCTTTACGGCAAAAGCTACAAAATCTCCGGCGAATACAAACTGCCTAAAGATGAGTTTCTGGGCACACCTGAGCTCAGCGTAAGACAGACTATGATCTAAATTGCATAGTATGATTAGTCATCCTCTTTACATCAATGAAGCTAAAGAAAAACAAATGCTCTTTTGTTTCAGGTCTTTTGTGATATGGAGACAAACGGCGGCGGCTGGACTCTGATTCAACGACGCAAGATTGGTCTGACATCCTTCAAACGTGACTGGAAGCAGTACAAAAGTGGGTTTGGATCCGTCCGTGGAGACTTCTGGCTGGGCAATGAGCACATCTTCCGTCTAACCAGGCAGCCCAGCACGCTCAGGATTGAGATGGAGGTATGTGTTGGAAAGCGCATCGGTCATTTGGTTTCAACCATGCGTGAATTCATTAGTAACCAGACGTAAAAATAAATGCAGACAGGACCACTTTACATCTATTAGTACTAAAAGTAAGACCATTAATAATACGTCAAAGGAAATGCACACCACAGGGGCCAATATTCTCACGTTTCTTTAAATAAGCCTCATAAAATCATGCTTGTTTTTTTTTCTCAACGCAGGACTGGGAAGGAGAGACACGCTATGCAGAGTACGGCTTTTTCACACTGGGTAATGAACTCAACAGCTACAAACTCTTCATCGCCAATTACAGTGGAAATGCCGGAAACTCGTTGCGCTACCACAACAACACCAACTTCAGCACCGTCAACAGGGACAACGACAAATGTGTGGACGACTGTGCTTCCCTGCGTAAAGGTAAATGATGAGAGAAAAACTAGTAAAAGCAAACCGGCCCCGTTATATTAGCATCTAGATTTATTCTTCCAGTCAGCCGTGAGTGTAATAGTTTTCCCTCTATGCCTCCCAGGTGGCTACTGGTACAACTGCTGCACTGACTCCAACCTGAATGGCGTTTTTTACCGCTACGGTGAGCACAAAAAGAACACAGATGGGATCACTTGGTATGGCTGGCACGGCCCCAACTATTCTCTCAAAAAAATCGAGATGAAGATTCGGCCAGTGAGTTTTCAACCATGAGTGCTTCAGCTGCTCGTCCCGGATCAAGACCATACGTATGAATATCAAGAGATCTCACCAATACCAGGCTAGCCACACTGTGGCTGTCACCTGACTGCAAAAAGAATGAAATGCCCGTTTGTGATGGTCTGGTAAATTAGTCAGATGAATGTGTAATGGTTCATGTTGTGTTTGATTGTAAATTGTAGTTATTTTTAGTATATTTATCAGTAAAATATTTTGGTTAAATAATTTCAAAGATGCTTTTTTAAACCACTGTCCCTTTGGGGCTACTGGATTTTAATTATTTCTCTCATTTGTTTTTAAAAACACAAGAAGGGAGTTTTTTTGGAACAAGTTAGAACTAATTCAGACTGGTTCAGATGTAAATCACTAAAAAAATGGTAAAAGTATTTAATATAAAAGAAGTTAGGCTGGTATTTGGCTCCTGTGAAACTTGTTTTTTTTGTGATTGAAATGTGTACTTTGTAAGATATGTACAGCTCTTTTATCATGTTGTTTCATGTGATTTAAAATAAAAATATTTTTAAAAGAAACAACCCAAAGACTTGATCGGAAATATAAATCCTGTGTTGCTTTGTGACTAATACTAAAGTCTGGATTAAAAAAAAGAACTTCTTGGGGCCATTCAGGTCAACTCATAGCGGCAGCTTTGCCTCAAGCCTCTAACCTTAGGTCATCTGCTGACATTCTGGGCAGAGGTCAAAGGGTACATGAGCCAAATGAAAGAATAGGACCACACATGCTCTGCATCAGAGGTTTTCTTTTCCTCTACAGAATACTTTTGGATTCACTTAATTTTGATTCAGTCCTTAAAGTTTGGCATTTATTTGTCCTTTATGCCGTAATGACTATACGGCATGCAAAAGTTAGTTTGATGCTGACAAATGTTGCTCTATTTTAAGAGTTTATGGTATACAAAGGTGTGACCCCCTACAGCAAAAGCAGCCCTAAAGTACTAGTAGACAGTATAAATACATGAAGCCAGTGATGTATTTACCACTTGCCATTGGAATGCAATGTTTCAATGTAGAGTAAAAAAAAATTTTTTTTAAATAAACTTCATGTAGAAATCAGCTGCTGTGAAATGTCTTTTTCTAGAGGGTTTAAACCTGAGTAAATGTGACTGCCTAAAGTGGCGATCATTGTTAAAGTATCACTGAATCCTTGAGCAAAAGCAGGGAAAATGAGATGAGCTACAATAAATGAAAACTTCTGTTAACTTCTTTTCTTTTAAGGCTGCAATAAAGAATGAGACGTTCATGCAACACGAGTCAAAACTGAAATGCAAGGCAGCAGCAGCCGTTGGAAGAATTCTTGTTTTTATATTATTTCTCAAGAATACCATAGGGCTGCACAATATATTGCAAATGTACTGTCATCGCTGTATCATCATGCACAATACGCAAAAAACAGAAAACACATCAATGAATTGTCAGCTCAAATGTTTGCTAGGCATAATGCTTTTTGTCAATCAAAAGGAAGCATGAAGTGTTTGGCAAATCAAATAGAGACTAATCGGGTGGTCCTTATAGGTTAGATGCCCACCCCCTATGCGGATGACGCTTAATTTGGATGGCTAGCAAACACTGACTTAGCTTCGTTCTGCTATTTCTGCCGATTCTGTTTCTCCAGGGATCCACTGATTGCATTTTCCTGTTTGCTGTCCTTTTCCCTTTCCTCACATCTTTTGATCACAATTTTTGCTTTTAGTCTTTTAGTCATTTAGCATGGCAGGTTTTCCTAATATCGTGCAGTCCAAGTATACCAACCCCCCTACCAACCCCCTTAGTGGCTGGCTGCAGTTTAGGTTTAACGTCATGCATCTCCATATAAATACAATTATTTATTTAATTTTCCAGCTGCTGATTTTAGTCAAGTCACTAATTTATGACCTTGTTGGTTCAAACACTTTTTTTTTTCAAATAATTTTAGCTGTAGTTTGTTATTTAATGATTAGAAAACATCATGATATTATGAGGGAGAGTAGGTGGGACTGCCAACAGCTCAATAAATATTAACTACAATTATTAAATACTGACCAATAAAGATTTAGCCTGCTGTATTTGAGCAATAAAAATATCTCCTGAGAAGATGAGTCATCTTCAAACTTACCGACTCACAGCAAGAACTTTAAAAGTAATGATGCTTTCTGGTCATCAAAACGAGCGCTGTAAAAAGTGACATTTTATTTCTGATGTGGCCAGAACGGAGTACATTTAAGAGCACTTTTGCATCCTTTAGTCTAAATCTTCCATGGGAAATCCTAGAGAGGTGAGAACCAGATGGGGATAACACCAGAGTGCCGGCTCCCATCATTCATCATCATCAAGGCTCCCAAGAAATTGAAAACAGGCTCCAAAGAAAGACAAGTCCAGACACTCGTAGATGAAACGGAGGCAGGCGTCCAATTAGATGCCTGGAAAACAGATTTCTCCTTGCCATGCCAATAGTAGAGAAATGAGAGAGAGAGAGAGAGAGAGAGAGAGAGAGAGAGAGAGAGAGAGAGAGAGAGAGAGAGAGAGAGGGAGAGGGAGAGAGAGGGAGGGAGAGAGAGAGAGAGAGAACGGGATGGAAAAGATGACAGAAGATATTGAAGGGCTTAGATCAGGAGGATATGTATAATGTTTTTTCTATTTATTAGTTGAAGGATCAGATTTAAGAGGAAATGGGTTTTAACCAAATGCTTCCAATGCATCACTCACCTGATTATTAATTCAACATCCAAATAAGTGAGGTGGTGGTGTGTGTGGGGATGACAAGGAAAATTCGATGGCTCGGGCCTCTCAGCTGTTGTATCTAAAATCGTCTCTTTTAGGACTTTACCAAGACATCAGTGACCTCACTGATCTGCTCCAAAAGGCGTCCACGGACATCAATAAGCTTTATTTGGTCAAAGTCAACTGTAATTTAATCCATTCAGGGGACCTGTAGAGTGGCTGAGTGACGTAGAAAGTGGCGTTCAATAACCAGAAGGAGCCTTTTTGTTACAGCACAGCCAAAATGAGGACGTTTGTGTGTGTGTGTGTGTGTGTGTGTGTGTGTGTGTGTGTGTGTGTGTGTGTGTGTGTGCTGGGGGGGGGGGGGGGGTTAAAGCAGCTCATATTCTTCTTTGGTATGTTCTTGCTGTGTTTAGTTTCTAATTCCATTTTTGGTTCTTTTTTAAAACACAGAATTTTTACCTTGCTGACAGTTTCGTTTGCCGACTACAAAACTTCCTCAGAGCTGGCGCTGATGGTGGCATCACTTCCTACTCCGTTGGGGAGAGCGGGCAGCAGAGGGCGACAACGTACTCTGCTGCCCGCGGATAAACGGAGTAGGAAGTGACGCCACCATCAGTGTCAGCTCTGAGGAAGTTTTGTAGTCGGCAAACGAAACTGTCAGCAAGGTAAAAAAAAAAAAAAAACCTTTTCTGTGTTTTAAAAAATAACAAAAAAATGGAATTAGCTCATATTCTTTTTCTTCTATTCTGCTTCTTCAGTGATTCTTCCTTCTTGAAATGCTGGTTGTCTGCCGATGTCATTTCCTACTGAGTCACAACCAATCAGAGTGAGTTTTAACTCAAGTCCCACCTAACAACTGTACTGGGTCATTCCGAGTAAATGTTATGGGAAAATGGTTCTTTTGGGACTGGACGGTGAAACAGAGACACACGCATGTTGTGAAGGTCCGGTAAAATTACCCAGAAGTCCAATAGTGGAGACGGGCCACTTGTCATTTCCCCTTAGATTTAGTGAAATATTGAGTTAGACACGTAAGTTTACTTCTTGGGGTTTTTGGATCTCCTACCTGATAAGAGACTCCAGGATGAGAGGAGAGGGACCTTTCTGAAACTCCAGCTCTTTGTAATGTAGCGCCTTGGCGTAGGCACGACATTTAGCTGCTCTCTCTCCAAGCAGCACAATGCCATTATCATCTCTGAGAGGAAGAGGGCCCTGGTAAAGGAAACGTAAAACACCACCAGAAAAATACAAATGAGTCATTCTGATGCAATCGATCCTCAGATGACAATATGACACCAAAGGTCATATCTTCACTAGGAATGCTTGAATTCTTTTAGCATTAACAATGGCCTCCCAACCTGAAGTCTGTTAAAATGCTGCATCAAGACAAAATCATGGCAGGTTCAAAGTAACAGTCCCAGTGTGTGTGGTCAAACAGAGAAGAAGACAACTTCCCATCTGGAAACGCCTTCTCTGGGTAGTTTAGCAACACCTGAGTGACAAATAATTGCTGTAAATGGAAGCGTTATTAAGTCCTGGGTTGTTTTCCAATCGGCTCTTATGGTGACTTCAGTTCACTGTTCAGACACATAATGTGCTGCTATGAAGATTCAACATGCAGAACACGACTACATTTTAGAGTTTATTTAAGACCAAAAGGCCATTTGACTGAATCACATGAGCTCATGGTAACATGTGACAGTGATTCAAGATTAGAAGATCAATATAATTAATAATGCATTTAAATCTTCCGTGCCTTTGTGTAACTACACTGAATGCTTTCGTGCTAATGATGGTTTATAGAAAAGCACTTTATAGTACATGTGTTATAAGCATGACTGAAACAGTATTTAGCTACATGTAAGTTTTATTTTCTTAGAAATGGAAAGCTTCAACCAGTTTAAACTCGGTCAATGTTCAATCTAATTAAATCAGCACAAAACATTTTGGTGTGTTATCCCACTGTGATATAAAATTACAATTAATCACAGCAACCGATTACAAACAAATGAAAAAAATAAATAATCTGCCGTGCATTTTAGAAAGCCGGGAGTTTTTTGCCATTTATTGCGCACCTTCAAGGATGTGAGACAAATATTGATATACAAAAATATTGCCATACTTAGTGTTATGGTACTGAATCAATATTCAAACATTGTTTTGTTTTTTTGGAATATTTACATTCAAACATTTACAGTTTGTCTTTTGTGTATATTTAAACTCCGACTGCTAGGTGGCAGCAGTTTTTATCACCATCATTTTGACGGAATACCATTTTGCAATAACAATGGATGTCATAATGTCTGGTCTGCATTTTTCTTTTCAATTCAGTCTTAAAAATCGCAAAACCCCTCTGACTTTTAGTATTGGGATACATCATATCGCCAGATCCTTGCCAACACCCTGACCTACTCACCTTGTCGCTGTGCTCCATGAACTCTGCCAGATTAAGTAAAGTCTGTGTGACTTCAGCGATATCCTGGGAGGTGAGAGCCAACTCGATGCTCCGGATGAGCTCATCCTGCTGATCTTCACTCAGTTCAGACCAACAAGACAGAAACGCTGCGTTGAACAGGTCTCTGTGGACCACAGGAACAGCAATTACAAATGATGAACCCTTCATCACTAACTGTTACATTTTAAAGAAGCAGGTGTAACTTAAAATAGAGATCTAAGTTGACACAAATCTCTAAATGTATTCATATTGTTAAGTGTTTTTCTAAGATTCTGTGGCTTATCACAGATGGCAAGCATTAAAATAAAAGGAGACACCCTAGTGGGAGGATGAAAGAGGGCATGTCAGTCATGGTGTACCTGGCGAGAGGAATATAAGTTTGTGCCAGCGACCAGCATGATCGCAGCGCTGGAGAGGACGACTCTTTGAGAAGGACAACACTCAGGCGTCTCAGCCACTCCAGCCAGTCATCTTTGGACACCTTCCTGGCAGCACCCCAGGCCTGTAAAGCAAGACCAATTGTTTGATTTCAAACAGCACTGGAACCGTGTGGGAGATCCAGCTTTTCCAGATCTCAAAAGAGTGAAACCACAGCATAAAAACCATCACTCTCGTATTCAAACCACTCCAATGACCCCATGTGCTCTTAAAACAGGCGTCTGCATTCAGTGTGTTCTTCTGCTCTTTCATTGAGAGTTTTTCTTCAAAGGTATTGCTGATCTGTTGGTTTCTATGGCATCTCCTCAAATAAACTGCGGGTTTGCAGTCAGAACTGTTTACCATATTGATTTTCAACATCTGCAGCAACGCTGGTAAACAAACAAAGGACTTCTTATGCTTCATTGTGAAAATAAGAGTTCAGATTTCAAA